GAGAAGAAAAGGGAAGAATAGGTAGAAGAAAAAAGGAGGGGAGAGGAAGGAGGGAGAAGAGAACAGAGAAGTAGGGAAAAGGGGAAGAGAGCTGGCACAATAGAAATCTGGGGGATCTGGCCATCCACTACTGTGCAACCAACTACCCCAAAACATAGTGGCTGAAAACAACATATTATTATCTCTCACAGTCTGTGGGTTGACTGGGCTCAGCTTGGTGGTTCTCTCTTGTTGCTGCTCAGGCAGTCATTGTTGGATGGCAGCTGGGGCTGCAGTCATCTGACAGTTCGACTGGGTCGGATGTTCCAGTGTGGCCCCTTGACTCAAGTTTGGTGCCTCACGGTTCCTGGCCCCTCTCCTGCACATGATGTCTCATCTCTTAAGGCCTCTCCCTGTGAGGTGGACTTCTCACAGCAGGGTGGTCTCAAGGCAGTCACATGTCCCCCAGGAAGGATCAGTTTGAAGAGGCAGAAAGTAGAGCCATCAGGCAGGCTGATCATGGCACAATGTTACATCTGCCGTGTTTTGCTGGTCAAAGAGGCAGGGGCCCAGAGTCACAGGATGCAGATATAGATTCCATCTCTTGATGGGGGACTACAAGACACAGTGCAGACATGCACAGGATGGAGATACTGCTGTGGCCATTAGGGGCATTCAGTGTGAATGTGAAGTTCAGTGAACAAGCAGTACCTTTGCTGAAAGGGAACTAACAGGTCTCTCTTGGGCTTGTGATGTGACTCCTGGACATAATTTAAAACACAGGGGCTCAACTCCTAGGGACATTCTTTCTGGGAAGGAACAGTGTTTCACCATCTATGAGTCCTTTATAGCCTTTACACGGAGCCTGGCACACAGTAGGTGCTCTATAAATATTTTCTGAGTGAACCTGCATGGTGCCCAGTACCTTAGAAGGGTAGCCCCATCTCCTTTGGAAAATACTTCTGGGCATTGTAAAAATGCTTGCTGCCATTCCAATAGGGGTCTAGGTGACCACCACATCACAACCTTCACTGTGCTAGCATCTAGAACACTGCTGGGTATGCAACAAGCATATTTGATGTATGAATAAATGATTGCATGGGCTCAACTGATGATTTTAATACATCTTGGTCCCTAAACTAAGTTCCCAGAAGGTGGTCATGCCACTTGAGTTCCTTCAGACCTTAGGAGGGCAGAGGGAGAATGTTCTAGTCCCCACACAACTATATACACACACACCACGCTGAGAACATGTAACTAACCAGCTGCTGTCACACAGAATCTCACTAAATATCATGCAATCCTGCTGCTGTCCCTATTTACAGATGAGGAAAACAGTGGCTCAGAGAGAAGAAGTCACTTGCTCAGGTGACACAAGTTTGTCAGTGTTAGGGTGGGTCCCAGACCATGCTGTCTGGCCACCACACTCTCCTGCTTCCCCTGAGTGTCAGAGATCACGTTGGCCCTCTTGGTTCCCAAACTACCATGTTTATATCAGGCCCAGATGAATGTCTCTGTTCTCATCCAACCAAAAGCATTTTCCACCATGCAGCCCACATCCCCTTCATGGTAAGAGGAGGAGGAGGAGGAAGCAGAGAAAAAGGAAATCTCCTAGCCATAGCCCTGTGGTCTTCCTAGCTAGCTGGCCAGTGCATGCACTCTTCAGAAAAGTTTCACCTCTGATTTAGCATAACAAAACTTTTAATTTAGATGTTTTCATGTCTCTCTCCAAGTAAAAATAAGTTTAAAATAATGACTGTAATAAATGAAGGTAATTAATTGTAGTTTGTTCCTTTACTGTCTAGTCAGCTTAATTTTACCTTTTCAACTAATAATGAGAAAATAATTTTTGTGCTCGGAGGGTTAATGATATGTAACTGCAAGAACTGCTAATTGCATGTTGCAATCCATCCATCAACAACCCCATCTGTGCGACTTGATTATGTTTGCTAAATTATTGCTTTGAATTATCTTTCATAAAGCAACTTTTGTAATTAGCGGGGCTTTCGTCTTGCTCTTTTCTCTGCGCACAAGGATATTCAAACTTTGGCCATTTCAAGCTGTCTCTCCATTAAGCCACCTTCTCTGGCTGTCTTTGTTTCTCTGAGCAGGAGAAATCAAAACTGTCCTTTAAGCAATCAAGGCAGAGAGAGAAGCTTCCTTGATTCACAGCAGGGCAAAATCACTTCCTCTCTGCCCCCTCCCACTGGTGACACACAAGGAAAAAAAAGACCCACACATATATAATAATATGAAAAGATAAAAGATGCTCAGATTCTGCATATACTAGGGCTAGGGAGTGAAATTCAGAAATAAACTTGAACGTGGTATATTTCAAGGAGAGGCCTGCATGGGAGAAGGAATGATGGGTGTGATATTCAGCCCTGGGGTTTTATGGGCTAGTTTATGTGACTTGGGACGGCGCTGGCCCCAGGGAATATTTCTGGGAGGTGATTAATGCCCACCTGGGAATCTGCAGCTCCAGCTCAGAGCCTGGTGGATGGCAAAAGAAGTTACATAAAGGATGAGCCCTCATTAAAAAAATTAAAATGAAAATCAAATTTGGATTATAAACGGCCCGTGTGTGTGCAGCTTGTTCTGGACAACAAAGATGCTTTTTATTAACACCTCCCTTTGGCGGTGTCTCTCCCCCGAGGTGCAGGGAGGGACACAGCGGCCAAGATAGCTTAGTCAATAGATCATGAGGAAAGCAGGGGTTTCAGGAATAAAATTCCAGACAAATGTAGTCTTTTTGGCACATTAAGGGGAGGATGGAAAGCTCTCTTAAGAAAATTAACGGAGTTCTTTGAAGATCTCCAGCTATTAAAACAGAGTCTATTCAACACAAAACATGGGTTTTAGAACGGAGAATTCAGCTTTGCCTTTTCTTTCAGCCACACTAAAACCTCTGCTGCAATACTTCTTGAGCACCAACTGTATGCCAGACACTGTGGCTGCCTCCAAGCTGCTTAGTTCTTTGAATCCTTCCTGTAAGCCTCCTCAGTCAAAGGAGGAACACTGAATTGCAGAGAGTCAGGAACATCCCCCAGGCCACACAGCTGTTTCAGGGGCAGGGCTAGGGCTCTAATCTGGGGTTCTAACTTCCTGAGTGCCATTTGCTCTTGCTTTCCACCAGACTACACTCAGGGCTTCTCCTGATCATCCCCCAAACCTGTTTAACTAGTTTCCTATTGAAAAGATGACATAAACTCATACCTACTTCCTACAGGGAAAGACAGTTCCTTTCTAAAAAGCCTTGAACATCTAGTTAAGAAAGAGGCAGATCCCAGCCCAGCTATTGTAGAGGCTGAATAAACCTATATTGGAGGTCACCAATAATAAGAATGAAAAAATATCCAAGACTTCTAATATGCAAGCCAGTGTTTAAACTTCTTCAGTGTGAATTTTGTTCTTCAATCACACTCTGTGAAGTAGGTATAATTACTATCCCCATTTTACAGATGAGGAAACAGAGGCACGGAGAGGTTAACTAACTTGCCTACGGCCACAAAGCCAGGGCAGAGGTGGGTTTCAAACCTAGACTCGTCCCAGCATTTGTGCACCTCATTCCCTAGCAAGCTATCTGTGTGCCAGATGTTACATTAAACCCATTCCCTGCATTACATCTAGGTTAATCCTTAAAACAACACAAAAATATCTCTAATGTCTTTATTCCCATTTAATAAATAGGGAAAACTGAGGGTCTAAGAGGCTAAGAGAAGCTCTGCTCACACCAACCCTAGCCAAGGAACGGCTGAGAGAGCAACCCTGTCTACCAAACAGCTTAATGCCTATCTTTGGGCTTAGTGGAGGATCAGCTGCCAGAGAGGGCTTGTGTGCTGAGCATCCCCCACGGGACCAGGAGTTGGCAGATGGGAACCTCTTAAAAAAAAAAAGAAAAAAAGAAAAACAAAAACACAAAGCCATGAAAACACATTCCCAACATTATTGGTCTTCTTTCTGGCTGTTTTTTCTTCTCAGCCCAGGCAACTCACAACTAAATGAATCAATACTGGATGGCCTTATAAATAAATAAGCATGTCAGTCAACTCAGTAATAAAATGAAGGGATGAAAAATATGGAAATCAGCGACATTTGTGTAAATCCACTTATCGTTTACTTTAATATACCCTTATGCGCTTATGCGGTTCCAAAGAGACAGATTTAAAGTAATGTGGCACTTGGTGGATGACAGACTTAAAATGCACTCCTCCAGCAAGCTCTGAGAAGGGCAAATACTTCTGGGAACCTGCTTGAGCCTAGGGAAGCCTGAGAGGCCTCTTAAGATGGAATATTTTAGAAACGGTCTCTACTTTCACCTCTGATTCCTGTGATTCTAGTCTTTTCCTAGCCTATGGCAGCCAGATTAAGTCAACATTTTCAGAATCCTGACAACAAAGTCCAGAAAAGGGGAGAAACAGGGGAGGTTTTACCCCATCACAGGGCTCCAGAAAGGCAAGTGAAATGATTTGCTGAGGACAGCTCAACTGGTGTCAAAGAAACTAAGGCCTGATGGGTTGGCAGGAAAGAATGTGGATAATGTTGATTTTATATTCAAAGGGTGGGCTGGTATAAAGAATTTCTAAGTGGGCTGGTAACTGCTGGGTCTTATTTGCAAGGCTGTCTCAGAGAAGCAAGGCAGAGCAGACTGCCAAGGGAGAACAAAAGTCACCTGGTATAAGCCCATGATTTTACAAATGGAAAACTAAGCTTGGAAGACGAGGTAGGTTTGTTCAAGGTCACAGATCTTAGATGTAGCAGAGCCAGTGTAAGGCTGGGCAAAGGTGAGGGAGAGGGAGATCTCTTGGGATCAGACCCTGGAATTCCATCAAACAAGAGACAACTCATTCTCACTGCTACACCATTGCAGTGGGACACCAAAGGGAACTGCCCAGTTTGCAGTGGGGGCAGGTAGCTTATCTAATGCTTCTGGAGGCTGCTGGTCTCTTCTGGCAATGCTAGGTGGGATAGGAGGGGGAGCCAGGGTCCTTTTCTGACATGCTGTGGGCCTTGGGTCTTACCTCGGCTTGGAAGCTTTTTAATACAGGAGCCACCATCTCTCTGATTTCCTGAAAAAGAGATCAGCGAAGAGTTCACCATGGTGTCAGGTGGGACACCCCCATGGCCCCTGCTTATAAGTTCACTTCTGTCCCAGGGTCAGCATTTCCCAAGCCTGTCCTATGAGGTCTGCACTCCACGGGATTTCACAAGACACACACACACACACACACACACACAGATGCTGAGCCAAATCAGACAGGGAAACATCAAGTCCAAGAGGTTTCTTTCCTGCAGGACGTTTTGGAATCTTTAACTCATACTGGGAATTTTTGGAAGAGAGTGAGAGGAAGTGGTGGCATGATCTTTCATGCAAAGTATCTCGTGAGTGGTCCTTCGATGGACCCTCTTTGGAATGGGGGCTGGAGAGATGGTCCCAGTTCTCTACACTCAGCTCTAAGTCATCAAAGTTCCTTCATGAGAACCTTCTGTCCTTCAAGGTCACTGTGAGCTGCCTCTTTTGGGTGGCCATCTCTGCTATCCCACCCTGTGCCACCACAACTGGTAAAGACTGCATTTTGCATTTTAGCAACACCACTTGTGTACCTGACTCTCCCTGCTCACCAGAACGTGCAGTTTCTGGGAACTTGGCTGCCCACCTCAGAAGGGCTCTACAAATATGTGAAGAACTCCATGGATGTGGGCTGTCTTCAGAAGGGAAGTTTGTCCTGGTAACTACAAGGTTCCTTTTCAGATCTCAATTTCCTGACTTTCATAAGTAACCTTGAGGTTCCCAGGCTCACAGCTCCCCTGGTGAATTCCTATGAGTTCTCCCTGGCATGCAATAGGGAAGCCTTTTTTATTCTTTTTAATTTAATTTTTGAGACAGAGTCTTGATCTATCACCCAGGCTGGAGTGCAGCAGCATTTTCATTGCTCACTGCAACCTCAAATTTCTAGGCTCAAGTGATCCTCCTGCCTCAGCCTCCCAACGTGTGAGGATTATAGGCATGAGTTACTGCACCTGGCAGGGAAGCCTTTTAGAATCATGAACTCAAGATTCCAACCCTAACCCTCCAGTTTCCTCTGAGATTCACTGGAAGTTCCCCCAATAATAACCAGCCACAGCCACAAGAACCCCCAAGGGAGGGGAAGCGGAGGAGGCAACTGAGACAAGCAGAAAAGGAAGAGATTGGCTGAAGAATATACATGTTCAGATAAAGACTAAAACCATGAATTATGAAAATAAGGTTGGGTTGTTTCTGCCCCTGGAAAACGTCCCTCTCCTGGACCCTGAACACCCCTGCTCACTGGGGATCTTCAGAAAGGATGTAGGCAGTGCATGTGGACCTAGTGGACTGGATCACAAGGAGTTATGGGCACCCAGCTGAGCCATGGAAAAGGAAACATATGAGACTCTAGGTAATAGGTTGGGAACTCAAATGCCCAGTGGGCCAGGCAGGAAGTGGACATGAGGGAGGCCGGCTGGGACATACACGCCCTCTGAATGTATTGCACATTCTGCTCTGGCTGACACCTAAGCACGGGCACCTTGTACCTCTGGGTTGTGATATTCACCACATAGTCTTCAAATACTGGAAATCCTATTTTCAGGTGAAATCTTCTGTAATACTAAATGTTGGCAACTTACTGTGAAGTTTGAAAGACGTTACAGACCAAATAAACAACATATCAGCAGGATACCTCTGGTCTAGGTTCAAGAGATGTCAGTATATTGTGGGATCTCAGAAACCATCTACCCAATCCCCTGAATTTACAGAAAGGGAAATCGAGGCCCCAAGGGGACCTGTCCTGCTCAACGTCACACAGGAAGTGAATAGCACACTGGGCTTTGAAGCCAGGTCAGCAGACTCCCCAAACAGGCTCTTTTCATAATCCCACACTCAAGCAAACTTAGGGGATTCAAATCCAAGTGCCCCTGGAAGGATAAGAGTTTGGTGGCACTGTGAGCTAATGTTAACTCTTTCTAGAAGCCCACTGCCCTGATGCCTATGCTGCTGGGGGACACTGAGCAAAGGCTCCAGCCAAAGGATGCTTTTAAATAAAGCCTTGGCATGACTCCCCACATCAGGGGAGATAAGTTCCAAAAATGAGAATTTTCTGAGGAACAACTATAATAAGAATGGAAACTTATTCCTCCTAATTACATAATTGCATAATTATGCAGTATTAAAATTATGTAAGCTGAACTCCAAGGCTTAAAACCTGGCCTGGATTTCCCTCAACACCTAGGGGCTCCTGCATGGCCTGGGGAAAAAGTTTGCTGGGTGAGGGGAATAAGGATGAAATGGAGATTCTGAGTGACCAGAGGCGGAGTATGTGGGGCTATGAGGTCCCGTGGCTAACTCAGCTCTGCTTCCTAGGGCAAGGACAGCCATAGGTGCCCTCATTTTGGGGAGGAAAATTAGTTTACAGACCAAGCCATGCTCTATTCTAGAAGGGAAGGGAGGAGACCTTAGCACTACCGATGGCTTCTTAGCTACTGGAGCCAGATCAAAGACCTGGCTTGGCCTTCCTGAAGTTACAACCTAGGAGACTCTCAGATCTGAGAGTCAAGCCTCTTCCATGCACACGCTCTCTAAGCCCTCAAACCTAAGATTTCTTCTAGATTTGCTCTGTGGACAAATTCTAGCTAGATCCTAGTCTCCTCTCTTGCCAACCAGAGATATTTATGACTCGTATGAGAAGGATTCTGCAGCTATGAGACTGAGGTTGACGCAAAGGCTCAACCACTCTGTGCTCACGTGGCGTGATTCCTGGCTGGGTCCACCCCTCCCCCACGGGTAAGACAGCAACAGGAGACCTCTGCTAATTTAGACAGGCAAAGTGTAACTGGTACAACCAATGTCTCTCATCTGAATGTCAAACTCTGCTCACCCTCCTCCAAGATCCAGCACACCTGAGCAGGTAAGGACAGATATAAACCTGTTGCTGACCAGAGGGAAACACAATTGGCTTTGGGAGAGGTCTGACCTTGGAGTGCGTGTGTGTGTGTGGGGGGGGGGGGGGGTGCGTGCGGGCACACATCCCTGGGACAGTAGCAATTGGTGATGTGGGCTGGGGGGGGAGGGGGCCGTGGGGGGGGTGTGGGCACGGATATTTCACAGGGGCCCTGATGTGTTTCTCATAATAGCTCTGAGTTGCCACATCCCTGCCAACATTATATAGAGTCAGAGGGTTTTATTTTCCCTTTTTGTGTTTATTCCCAACATTTTTTCCTTCTTAATTCAAGAAGCAACAGGGGGCCCTGACAGAGAAGGGAAAAGAATTCACACATTCACCCCTGTAAAGAACAGACACATGTCTGTTCTCGTCTGTCCCCCTGGGGGCCCTTGCATTGCTGGGGTCTGGTCATTCTTTGGACCGTGCCCAAGATATACAGGAAAGACAAAGCTGGTTGGTAGAACTGCAAGGAAGGGGGGACAGGGAAGAATGAGGTCCACACACTGAGGACAGGAAGTGAGGTTTTAGAGATGGTTAGTGATGGAAGACCTGAAAAAGGTGGTAGAGCATCTACTGTAGCTGCCTTCCAGACACCAATGGAAAAGCAAAATAAATCAAGAACTCTAGACCAATTGTCTCTGTCATCAAGGCCAAGCATTTAACTTAGATATGGATGTGTATATGTGTGTGTAGGGGGGTGTGGAGGACTGGGTATGGATATTTCACAGGGGCCTAAAAAATAATGACTTTAATAGAGAAGCATTCTGCCCTTCCTTTAGTCAGCACCGCTGAGCACCACTATACTGGGAAACATCAAAAGGTTGGGGGCTGTAATTTTTCTTTGGGGCTAATTAGCTTCTTTTCTTGTTAGTCACTTATGTCTACAGTTTGCAAAATATAGTTTGAACAGAGAAAAATCTGCATTCCTACTGAGTTAATTCCATAACAGCAAATATACTGTACCTCAGGTACATTTTTCTTAAATTCCCGGCGGAGTTCAATTAAATGTTTATGAGAATGTTCACTCTCCTCCTGCCGTGCAGACAGCTCAGAAGCGACGGAATTAAGCTCCTTCTGGAACAATAAAAAAAAAAAAAAAAGAAAAAAAAAAAGAAAGAGAGAGGGAGAGAAAAGAGAAAGATTTTTTTTTCCTCTTTTTCCTTTTTAATCATCGTTCAAAACAGCATTCTGAACAAGTTTTCTTAACTTACAAAGCTGAGAAAAGACAGGATATTGACTCCTGGCACAAATGAATAATTTACGAAACTGGAGATGCAACCAAAAAAAATTCAGGACAGCTTTTTTGCTCATCGGAAGTTGGGCCAGATCAATATCCTCCTATACAAAGTTGGGTGGAGTTGGTTTTTTTTTTTCCATCTCTTCCCCACCCCCTGCCCCACCTCTTAAATTTCCAAAGGAATGATGGCATAAGCTTGTCAGTAACTGTAGAAAACATCTCCAAACCATGTCAAAATAGTAAAGTGCGGCATATTGTATGGGCATATTATAGAGTAAGAAAGTGCTGTCGACAGCTTTCATATATCAGAGGTGGGAACTGTTCCAACTATGACTTACTTACACTTAAAGGTTCATAAATACGCCTTTTAAGATATAGATGGCTTTTTAATTTCAGTAGATTTTGGAAAAATGAAGGTGCCAATAAGAAGCAAGCTGACCTTTTGTGTATCCTGCCGTAAATCATTTAAGGTTCACTTCAAGTATAAGAAATATTTCATTGAAGACTCTTAGTTCAGAAAAAATGGATTGGAAGGTGCTCTGTCTGCTTGTGTGCAAGGAAGGCATCAGATCAGGTTTTTAAAAGATGTAAAGCAAAGGAAAAAAGAGAAAGGGATGGAAATGGGGATGCATCAGCTTGCATACACATAGCAGGCAGTGTCTGCTGGTTGTACACATATAGTTGATCACCCCTCTTGAAGCTTTCTTCACTTTAACGGTGGCAGTTTCACACAGAGAGTACAATTTACCATGAGTTGTCATAGATTTCATTTGCATAATTCAAGAAATGCTCTGTTTATGTGGTCTGCTGCTTTCCTGCACCATCTCGAGATGGGGATTTTTTCTGGACCATAACTCGAGGAGCATTTCTGTATATATCACCCGATTATATTTGCAGCAATCAAGCCCCATAATTTCCTAAATCTGGTGATGCAATAAATTTCTGCAATCAGATTTATTAAAAACACACACGCAGATGCGGGAGTGTATTTCTAGGGTGAACTCTTTAATCTAACATATGTATGCTGAGGCCCAGACCGCGCTGAAAGACCCCATTTGTCATCGCTAATACACATTCATCTTGCACACACAATGAAACACTTTTACCATTAGATAATGAAATAAAAGTACTATTAACCCGCTGCAAATCCTTTTCCCTCCAAGAGACGAAATGCATGGTAATTGTCTTATATCACGTCTGAGAGTCAGTGAATTTGCTCAATGGCAATTCACCATAGCACCATAAACCTGGGATCCCAAACCTGGGATGAGTGTCTCTGACTTATGGAGCATTTTAGAGAAATCCAGGAAGAAATTTCTATTTGTGGAGAAATGTCTAACCTCTTCAGGGAATCATGAGACTAGAAGGGACATGGCAGAGACCACAAAGTAGTTATTCAAATAGAGAGGGAGCTGGTGCTCTCCAGGGTGCTGAAATCAATTCTCGCCACAGCACATGGGCACTCCCACTCAGAGGTGCAGGGGAGGGGGGAGCGTATGTGGGATTTCTTGTCTAAAAGCCCCATGGGATTTTGAGTCGGGTAAGGAACAAGATGTCACGAGAGAAAAAAGAGACTTTGGTTTGTTATTATTTAAAACTAATTGCAGTTTCCAATAAAGAAACCACAATTGACCATAACCAAAATAGCAAGCTATGACTAGGGAGAGATGGTATTTGCAGAAATAGACAAAGGTAGATAAAACCTAACCAGTTGGTTCAGCCAGGTGGACGGAATCTCACTTGGCAGGTGAGAGAACACTGGAGTGCCATGGTCAATTTGAGTTATAGTGGAGTCCAGCTCACAGTTTTTCTTGTCTTCCTATAGGACAAAGATGTAATTTTTTTTTTTTTTTGAGACAGAGTCTCAAGCTGTTGCCCTGGGTAGAGTGCCATGGCGTCACAGCTCACAGCAACCTCAAACTCTTGGGCTTAAGCAATTCTCTTGCCTCAGCCTCCCAAGTAGTTGGGACTACAGGTGCCCGCCACAACACCTGGCTATTTTTTGGTATAGTTGTGGTTGTTTGGCAGGCCCAGGATGGATTTGAACCTGCCAGCTCCAGTGTATGTGGCTGGCGCCTTAGCCACTTGAGCTACAGGTGTCAAGCCAAATTTCTAATTTTTGTGTTCCTATAAGGTAAACAACTGTGACTTGGATTTATATCCTTAGGTTTAGATTATCATGTACTGGACACTATTTCTTATCTCGGGGACACTGTATCTCCGCACACTACAACAACCCATATACCTAGTGGGGGGTGGACTTCAACTCCTTGCTAAAAACATCCAACCCAGGTTCTGAAAGGAAAAGGAAATCTCAGAGCAGGAGAGGTCCAACTGCCTGAGGTGCTGTACCAGATGATTATGCCTGCTACTTTTGCCTGCACCTACAGGATGCTGATAGGTGAAAATCTGACAGGCAGGACATCTGCTCTGTCTACGCTGCAGTGAGAGCAGAGCCAGCCAAGGTGGGAGGACATGAGCATGCCCCCAGCCCTGGTCCCACCACAGGCCCAGCTCTTGGTGTCTTTCCTGCTTAGCCTTTGAGGAACTGACAATATCACTGATATCCACATTTCTTCTCAATATTGCCTAAATCTATGCTCATCTTTCAACCCTAAATTCTTGTTACGTTTCTACAGTAAACATGCTAATACCAGCAATAATAGTAAATAATAATCATAACTACCATTTATGGAGTGCTTACATATACCGGGCACTATGCTAAGCGCCTAACATACATCATCTTGTGGAACAAACACATTAATGTGTCTGTAAGCTGATTTGAGCAGTGACTCAGAAATAAATTATAGTCAATTCTAATAATCGAGGTGTGGATTATCTCCTTGGTGGATTATAAAGGCAAATTTTTAATGTCCTGCTTTCCAGCAGGCTTCTGCTCCAATTCCTTATTGGCTGGGGGGTGTTCAGGGAGCTTGCTTTAAATGATAGAAGCATATCAAGTGTCAAGCACAGTAACAGGTGTTCAACAAACATTGGCTGATATCAATCTTATATTTAGAAAAACTGAGAGCTCAGAAAACACCCCACCAGATCAATGATTCCAAGAATTCTAAATTTTACAAGCCAGTAACATTTTTACTTAAAAAGGGAAGACTGACAGATTATTGCCAACTGTTACTGTATCAAGCAAAGACATTAAAAACTACTCCTACCACCTGAAAAGGGATATCTGAGCATCAACAAAGAGAGAGGGCCAATGACCTCATCAACAAGGGTCTTTTAAAATAAACGCATCTAAAATTAAAAGCTCATGGCACTAGATTTATTTTGAAGGAACAGAAAAAAATTCTGTCATAAACATAAACCAGCACTGGTCTGAACTCGTGTCCAAACTACCACACACACAGCTAGCAGGGCCTCTCCTCTGATAATCAAGCAGAAGTTGGATCTTTCCCACGTTGTCCCCCAGCCCCCCAGTCCTAGGGGGAGCCATGATTAACACAGCCCCAGACTTTGGGCTAGGCCCAGGCAGGGAGGGAACTCATCTGATTAACCGGCCATCAGCAGCAGACAGACAGCCCGGAGCCTGGCGCAGACCATTCAAATAATGATCATCATAAACAGCCCATTTGCAACTAAAAAGAAATAATTTTAATGAGCTTGAAACAGATGATAGATGCAGCTGAGACTCGGGCCAATGTGCAGAGAAAAAGGAAGCTGAGACTGAGCCACACTAAGGACCAGGCACTGTAGGAAGACACTGGGACTCCGGGGAAGGGGCTCTTCTATTGGCATCTGCAGTCCTTATTGGAAATGCCCCCTGCTCTAGGAGGGCTCCTACCTCTGAGAGTGCCTGCCATCACTGTGCTGGCCAATCCTGGGACTGGGACCTGCAAGATACTTAGAACCTACAAGTCAGAAGAAATACTCCAGGTTGCCAAGTCATTGCTGTTCAAACTTTGACCACACAAAGTGTTTGACCACACATTCAACCTCTGCATGAATTTTGCCATTGTATTGATATTTATCTTCAAATTGACCCTCATTATTTATTTCTTTTGAGTGAGAGATATACATAGCTTTAATTTAATGTTCAGCTTAATGAATTTTTACACCCTAGTAACTGCTGCCCAGATCAAGATATTGAATGTTAGTGCTTCGAGTACCTAAGAGAGCTCCCTGTGTCCCCTCCTGGCCAGAATCCCCTAAAAGTAACCATTATTCTGGGCCTCGTAACATAGATAAAATTTGCCTCTTTTTGACCTGGATATGTCTCCCTCCTTTCTAAATCTAAATAAGTACATCTGAAAAGGACATTTTTTTTGTCACTAGAGAATCTTGCATCATAAACAGATGGTGGCCATTAAAGTACAATGAAACCAAAGCATGGCTGTCTGATTTTGTTATGAAAGATGAGCACGTGGTGGAAAGGTGTTAAAGGGAATGTAGTACCCAACACAGACTTTCTGCTTGGTGAAATGAGAAAGGACGAAAGAGAAACGAGAAAGGACAACTGTTCCTCATGACCTGAGTCAATTCCTTCTAACGCCGGTCTACTTATTGCTTACAATTTCACGTCCCATCAGTGCATGTGTGTCCCACACTTTAGCAAACGCTAATTATACCTGATTCTCCACCCATCCACTCCTTTAAAAGATGAGGTCTTGCTGTAGTGCCCAGGCTGGAGTATAGTAGTCCAATCCTAGCTCACTGTAACCTCCAACTCCTGGGCTCAAGCAATCCTCCTACCTCATCCTCCCAAGTAGTTGGAATTACAGGCATGTGCCACCACCTGGCTTCTCCCACATTAAAGATGTGGAAACAGACACAGATAGCTTTGGATTCCTGCCCATGTCACATACCTGGTGAGGAGGGT